TCTACAAAAGTCAGAAGAAGCATTTTCTTCAAATCAGTTATCAAAAACTGGTGTATTTTTCCTTAATTTATCATGGTTTGGGATGAATGCTATGTATCTTATTCTCTCAGTAGAAGGTTTTTTTTATTTTATTAAATTTTTCTTTAGTATGATTTTATTAATTTGTTTATTTTATGCGTTTTTTTTTTTCTTTATGTGGATTTTAATTTTGATGCTAAAATAGGCTTCTAAATTTCTAAATTTCCATGTCGTATTAGTTTATACATTGTTTAGCAGGTTTTTCAAAAATGTTTTAAAAATAATCTTTAACAAATTATCTGTTTGTAGTTGTACCAAGTCAAGTCCATGCTTTAGTTGGTTCAGAAATGAAAGGGCAGATATTTGGTGCAATGGTTGCACTTGGTGCAGGTAATAACTGTTTATTTTTTTTGCTCTAAATTTTATGCAAGTCCTTTTATACGTTTATATCTTATATGGTTTAAGTAATTTTTTTTAATTTTAATTTACTCCCATCACTACTTTAAACTAATTTAAGTAATCAGTTTATTTTTATATGGTAAAATGAACTAAAAAAAATCACAATGGCTTTTTGTAAAGATTAAAAATGATCTTGTTATGAGTTTACATAAAAAATAATTTTAGTTATAAATAGGATAAGGGTTTGACTTAATTGAAAAAAAAACTATTTTTAGATCATATTCACAAAATGTACAATTTTAACAGTTTCTAAATAGTTTATCCTACTTTATCTTATTTAGTTGTGACATTCATTGTAAGTCCACTAATTGGAATCCACAGGTGAGAGTTTTTTGTTAAAATTGCAAGAAAAGTTCAAATAGCTTCTGCGAAAGCTTGAAAAATGAAATCATTTTAACTTTTTTAAAAAGTGATCGATTTGCTTCGCCATTTGGTAAACGTCGTCCATTGATGGTTGCTGGTACAGTTTTGCTAATGTAAGTTTTTTGGAAATTTTCAGTTTGTTTTATAATTTCAATTTATTAAAACTTTTTCTATGTATGCTACCCCAAGGCAGAGTCACTATAGTGAAGGAATATTGTCTCTTCTATTTATTGTCTCTTCTATTTTTTTTTTACTTTTTCTAATTGTTGCAAACAAGGTTGCTGAACAAATATATAAACAGGGGTGGAAATGAACTCCTGCTTATAATCATTATTTTTTTCTGGTATTTGGTGTCCAGGATTTTTAAAAATGATAAGAGACTTGTAGACTATTTTGACAAAAATTTTATGGGGTTTAACCTGTTTTTGAATTGAAACCTGTTATTTTTTACCATAAAGTTTCGAAGCCCAATACTCCTGTTTTACATGAGGACTGTGGGTTTAAAATTGATAGTTCTTGTACTCTAAATGTCCTAATTTTTTTCACCAAAGAAGTTCCTGAATCTCTCTCTAAATCTAACATTTTTAAAGCTCCCAGACACCAAAAACCAGAATCAAGTAACAATTTTGAACCTTTTAAAACCAAAGTCATTTTTGGAACTGGATTCAAGTTGAAATTTCAAATGCTAGGAGCTTTATTGTTTTTTTAAAATCTAATGAAAATTATTTAAATTTTAATGTCAAAAATGAAAAATGCAATGTTTTAACAAATATAATCAATTGTAGATGTTAAATGTTTTAAAAAACAATTTCTAAGTATAAAATATTTTTTTACATTTAAACTTTCTTTTTCTTTTCTTTTTACAATTTTTGTTTAGACATTTTTAGAAGATTTATATAAAGATATTTATATAAAAGTTTATATATTTTTTTAATTTTAATAAATTTTACTGGTAAAATCATTTAAGGAATATTTATTATTGGATCTATTTTTAACAATTTATTTAATTTTATATATTAATAAATAAAAATACAGTATGGTAGTGAAGGAAAGAGGACCATATGCTAACAAAATATTATATAGACTGTTGCTGTAAATTTAAAATTTTAATATAATAATATTTGATATGATAAAATTTAGAAATATTTTAATTTGTTTAGAATTAGTTTATTTGGTATGGCCTTTAGTGCACCTGGAAGTGAAAGGTATGTGTCAGAATTTATTATTATTATTATTATATATATATATATATATATATATATATATATATATATATATATATATATATATATATATATATATGTATATATATATATTTTATATATATATATTTTATATATATATATATATATATATATATATATATATATATATATATATATATATATATATATATGTGTGTGTGTGTATATATATATATATATATATATATATATATATATATATATATATGTGTGTGTGTGTATATATATATATATATATATATATATATATATATATATATATATATATATATATATATATATATATATTATATAAAGTTATTATTTTTTTTTATTTTTATAAATGTACTAAAAATCTATGTTTCTCATTCTTTTATTTTTAAAAAAGCTTTAAAAGCAATTAAAATATATTCAAAATTTTATTCTATGATTTGAGTAAATTATTAGAAGCAGTGAGCTACAATAATGAAACTACTTTATAATCCAAGTCAAGCTGACTATCAAAAATTGTTAGTTTTGTATTTAAATGCCATAAAACAACTGACTTGCCATTAACAAAAACTGGCTTCCTAGTAATGAAACTGGCTTCTGAGTAACAAAACAGACTTCCTAGTAACAAAAACCAACTTCCTGCCAACTAAAACTTTATTAATATTTGTTAAAAAGTTTGGTGCTAATTCTAAAGACTTGTGTTAATTGTAAAGTCTCGTAATAAGAATAAAACAATAATTTTTTATAAATAAGTCAATTTTTTTATTACAACACTTAAAAAAATTTTTTATGGTTAACATCTAAGGTTGCTTACTCGTGTTGTTTGGAGAAGTTTCTGTAATGCCATTTTTTAAATTTAAACATGATATTATGAAAGTGATAAAGTGATTTTTTTACAACTGGGTATTCTTACTGCCATTACGATCTGTATTGACCTGTTTAGCAGATCAAGACTGAGTATTTTTATTGTAATAACTACTAGGAAGATTATCTTATAAAGTTTCCTTCTAACCATATAGAATTCCTCCTACCTTTACCCACAATTAAGAGTTTAACCATGTTTCAAAACATGTTTATCGTTATCTATAAAATAACTTACAAACAAAGCAGTGCTTTTAAAATTAAATTAAAAATTGTTGATCAGAAGTATTAAAAAAAAATGCTTATATTTGCTTACATATTTCTATTTATTTTATTAACCTTTTGTTTTTAGAGTGAAAGCTAATGCAACAGTAAGAATTGTTTCAGTGTTGGTTTTTTTAAATAAATGAAATAGTTGGAATTATTGTAATTGTAAATCCTGATAAATTCTGTCGTAAAATAATTTTGCTATTTTATAGGGTGTCTCACTCACCTTTAAATAGAATTGTTTTGTTTAATATATAAATAAAAAATTTATTTTAGTGTTCTATTGATCTGGAACTAAGAAGGTGTACAACTTTTTACCAAAATAATCTTACACTCCTACAAAATATTGCATTGAATTCTACATTTAACTCAACTGTGTTGCTTGAGTTAATGTCACAGCAACAAGTTGCTACTGGTAGTTTAGGTAATAGTCTTAAAATTTTTTTTAATAACTTATAGTCATATTTTATAGTTTTATAAATAAAATTGAAACTGTAATGAAATACAAAAAGTATATGCGTGTGTGTATGTATATATATATATATATATATATATATATATATATATATATATATATATATATATATATATATATATATATATATATATATATATCTGTATATATATATATGTATATATATATATATACACTTCCAAATTTAAAACAATTTTTTTTCTAGGTTTTTACTTCTTATTTTATTTATGCGTAATGGCTTGTTATGCAATTGTAGCAGTCCCTTACAATGGACTTATTGCTGATCAAACACCTGCAACTCAACGTGGTATGCACAAATACAAATGTTCTCAATTTTTTATTTTATATATTGAAAAAAGGAAATTTTATAGTAGACAAAATGCTGTAAGTGTGGAATGTACATGTGCACACTTACAGCATTTTGATAGATGGCAATTAAAATTGTCAATTTGTTACAGCGCACATTAAAAATCATTATATTTAATATTTCCCAATTTATATGTTGTATTTGACAAGTATTTTACTTGTCAAATAAACATTTTTTTTCTTAACATTACAAATCAAAAAACTACCAGAATTGACAATAAAAAGTTTTTCATTAAACGATTTCAATTTTAAAATTGACTTGATAATGCTGCACTTTTTTGCAATCTTTAGCAATAATTGTTCAATTTTCAAAATAAAATTAAATAAGCAATACATTTTTTACAGAATAAATTTCATTAAATAATAAAATATTTTGAGACAAGCTTAAAATATTTGAAATATTTTGTTCATATTTTTAATGCAAACATCACAAAATTTAGAAAATAAAATAAATAAAGAAAGTCTATATTAATAGACTATAGAATATAGTAAAAAAACTTTTATATAATAACAAGTAACAAATTCTTTAGTATCTATAATAAAAAAAAATTATATCATTTAAAGGAAAAAAGAATTAAATTTCTTATCAAAATTCTACAATGATGTCACATACTAAAACTCTTTGGAATTAAACTCGCTTGAATAAATTATAAAGTCTGTAGGTTGCGGGGTATATATTTGAAAAAACATGAAGATGGCAAACTTAACTAGTATAACTTTTTCTTGGTTTTTTATTTTGTTTTACTCAAAAAAATTCAGTCCAAACATTTTTTTATTTTTCTTAATCCAAACATTTTTTAATTCATTTTCTTTAATATAAACACAATTTGTCTTGGCACTTTGGAATTCCCTTAACAAGGGGCCAATTAACTCAAATTTACCAGATTGCAAAAGTTTTTGCAAAAAACAACAAATTTACTGCAACAAAAATACTTCACTAAGATTTTCGTAACTAACATACTTTAAATATCATTTGTATAAAGCATATGTTAATCCAGGAAATTCAAATACAGGGTAAATATTCTTATTGTTATAGGCCAAAATTAAAAAAAAAAAGAGGTACATTACTACTTTAATCAACTTCAAAGCATTTCTTTGAGATATTAGTGGCCTAAATTTAATTATAAAATTGGCTTTGTTGACCTGAATCTTTGCCCAACCATTTCATTTTGTGTCAACATGGTTGTAAAATATGAAAAAACTTTTTTGCATAGAAACTTTTACCTAGGAATGTAAAAATTAAAGATCACAATTGCTTCAAATAATTTTCATGATCACTAAATTGTTTCTCCCATTGCAATCTGCTATCACTTAATTCACCCCTTGCTACGATTTATACTCATTCAACTGTTTTAAACATAACAGTTTTAGTAAATATGGTAGGTATTACAACTGCTACAATAACCTATTGAGAATGGTTTGCTAAGCATGATTTGGGGAAAAGGCAATTAATCGGCTTAGATGTATAGTTAAACATTTAAAGTTACTTCCAATCATCAGATTATTTTCAGGTAGCTTTTAGTACTACTCTTGAGGTACTTATGCACTAACAATAGAAACATTTATTGTTCATATTTTAAAATTTTACAAATAGTATAATAGAATAACTACATAACAAACTGTGTCTGTATAATTAATAACTTCACATCAAGCTAAAATTTCTAAATGTATCTAACGCAGTTTTTTAAACATGTGTGTTTTAAACACTTTTGTTTTTTCGATTTTGTTTTTTGTTTCAAAATAAAATCAAAAAATAATATTAAAATTAACTAAAAAAAACAAAAAAACTAAAATATTTTTATTCTTATTTGAAAATTATTTTTAATGTTCATTTACTTTTTGCTAGTTTTTTGTTTACAAGCTTCTTATTTCTTTGTTGTTTTTTTTATTGTTCATTTCTTGTTTACTAGCTTTTTGTTCATTTCTTATTCATTTGTTTCTTGTTTATTTACTTTTGTGAATATTTCAATTACTACATTTACTAAATACAACTACGGATTGGTTTGAAATGGTTGTTTTTAATATAAATTAGACAAATGAAAGAATTAATCTAGAGCCTTTTCCAGTTTCTAATTAAAATTAATTAAAAGTATATATATATATATATATATATATATATATATATATATATATATATATATATATATATATATATATATATATATATATATATATATATATATATATATATATATATAAAATTAAAATATATAAAATATATATATATTTATATATATATATATATATATATATATATAAAATTAAAATATATAAAATATATATATATATATATATATATATATATATATATATATATATATATATATATATATATATATATATATATATATATATATATATATATATATATATATATATATAGCCTCCTCGGGTGTAGTGGCCCTTTTTGGCCTTGGGAGGTGAATTAACAAAAAATATATATATATTTAAAACTCAGGTTTAACAAACTTAAAAAATAAAAAAATTCCTGAGTATTTAAGGTTTGCTTTAATGCATATTTGATTTTTTTTTTTTTAAATAAAAAAAATGTTTTTTCTAATCTTTAAAATTTTTTTAAATGGTTTTTTTATGATTAATCATGATTTATATGTTTATTTCATGTTTTATGATTTTTCCTGATTTTTATGATTAGGTTTTAGTTCTGGTGTAATGGGAGCTATGACTTTGTTTGGAAATCTTGCAGGTGCTGTTATTGGCTTCTTTTTTAATGTAAGGTTTTAAATACTCTTCATAAGTTATATATATACATAAATATTTATATGTGTGTATATATATATATATATATATATATATATATATATATATATATATATATATATATATATATATATATATATATATATATATATATATATATATATATATATATATTTAAATATATATATTTAAATATATATATTTAAATATATATATATATATATATATATATATATATATATATATATATATATATATATATATATATATATATATATATATATATATCACTTGAAATTCGGAAAAATAAGGTTTGCAATTTTTTACAGATCTAAAACTATTTTAATTTGGCACAAAATTTAGGTTGCATGTTTGTTGATTTGTCAAACAGGGTTTGACAAATCAACAATCATGCAACCAATTTGCATTAAATTGACAAAAAAAAATGGAGAGAGTGTAGTTTTCTTTCAAAGTTTGATATTTGTTTAAAATTTTTTGTAATTTTGTAAACTGTAGTAACACAACATTTTCTATTTTATTAGGAATTCAAATAAAATATTAGTTTTGTTGTTTTATATTTTATTTGTTATGTTTACAATTTAAATTAAAGGTTGGTATTTAGAATCAAAATAGAACATTCGTTTTGCCTATATATTTTGATTATTTTTATTTTGAACTTAAATAAATTTTAGTTTTTCCGGTTTTTTTAAATTTATTTTATTTAAAATTTAAATTTGTTTTTTTGTTTTTATTTGATAGATTTATTTAGAATTTAAATATAAAACTCAATCAACTGTTTTTTTTATTTATTTTAAAATTCAAATTAATTGTTTGTTTTTCCTTTTTACTTCAATAATTTTACTTAGAATTTAAATTGTTTGTTTTGCTGGTTTTTTTTTCAATTATTTTGTTTAAAATTGAAATGAAGCGTTTGTTTTGTCGCTAATTTATTTGAAATATCAAATAAAAGTAAAATTTAAAATTCTGAGGTTGGGTATTTTTTAGTTAAGTTGGCATTGCCGAATGCCAACCTAACTTCCGAGGGCTGTTTATATATATACATAATATATTTGCTTCTGTGAATTGAGATCAGCATTGTTCTAATATATTTTGCAAACCTAAATTTTTAAAATGTTTTTGAAAAACAGACAACTTTCTAAGATAAAAGAAATTTGGGATCTCAGTTTTGGGTAGTGTTAAAATATTTTGTGAATTAAAACAAAGAACTGAATCTCTGGACTCTCTGTCTTCACAAGCAATTTTTGTTCTTTGCGCTCTTTGCAAGCATCTTTTTTTTGACCAATATGATTTAGATTTGGGTGCCTGGTTTTTTGTCCCCATTATGAAATATTATACTAAATTGATATAATTTATAGCTATGTTTAAGAACAACATGGTATCAAAAAAATATTAAACAATTTATATGTACATAGATAATAGAAGTTTCAAAAATCAGTTATATAGGTAAATCAAAAGTAAGGATAAGTTGGTCAATATCTTTTTTTTTTTTACAGTGCATATACATACAATTATTTTTACAGTGCATACAAATAGTTAATATAAAGAGTTTACTCTAACTTAAATATGTTTTACACAAGATGTTTTTTATTAGACCTTCTTAATGCTTTTATCTGGAGGAGAGAACAGAGTAATGCAACAATTTTATTTGATTAATTTAAATGAGTTATTCAAATCTTCTGAATCAGTTGTCCTGTGTAGATTAACATGCTTTATCAGCTACAAACTCTAGTTACAATAGTGAATCATTAGTTATCTACATAGTACATAGGGTTCTTATCATTGAATCAGGAGTATTATCATTGATACATAATTATAGTATACTACTTAAATAATCCTCGAGACTCATTTGTCAAATTAAATTTTGTTAAAACAAAATATTTAAATAATTTAAATAATGAAATAGGTATATGGTAGAATAATGATTACTAATACCTCTAATACACCATCATTAGTAATAAATAACTTTACTTTAAACAGTTATATTAAAAACTTTAGTTTTTAATATAATTAGTATATAACCTGTTAAGAAATTAGCTAGTGATATTTGTAACAAAGACAGCAGTTATATATATATATATATATATATATATATATATATATATATATATATATATATATATATATATATATATATATATATATATATATATATATATATATATATATATATATATATATATATATATGAATATATGAATATATATATATATATATATATATATATATATATAGCAGTTATATATATATATATATATAGCAGTTATATATATATATATATATAGCAGTTATATATATATATATATATATATATATACACATATATATATATATATATATATATATATATATATATATATATATATATATATATATATATATATATATATATATATATATATAATTGCTGAATTTTGTGTCTTTTATGACTTTATGTCAAATTCAGGTTGAAATCAATAGTCATGCTTTTTACTCATTTTATCGATATTTAAAGTTTAGTTCAAATTTTTTTTTTGACTTTATTCTAAAGCTTTAATCTTAAAAAATTTTTTGAATAAATAAAAATTGAGGCATGACATTAATAAAGGATTGAAAAAAGTGATTTTCTTCAATCACCTGAGTTCACATATGTGAACTCGGTTTAAAATCAGTATATTAAAATAAAATAAAAAGAAGGGTTCATAGAATAAAGATGATGTTTAGAAAAAATTAAAGATTTGTAAAACCAATGCAAAAGAGAAAAATTTGTTATGGTGGTAAAATACAGGTAAAATAATTAAAACCTTCAGAAGCAACTCAAAAGTTTTTTTTAAACAAAATTTTTGGGTGTGGTAAAAAGTATTAAGCATTTTTTCAAAAAAAAATTCTTTTTTTATTTCTGTAACTAATCTTCAAAAACATATTGATTATCATAGACAATGATCATCTGTCGAGGCTTAGGCAATTAAAAAATGCCATTGGCAAAGAACTCTTTAATCTTTGAGTTAAAGAAGTGATTGAGGTGCTTTGTCATTGAATCTTAAATTGCACAAGCAGTTGCTTAATGATTAGAACAAATAATAATCATTGGGCAAATGACACAACACTTCCTGACTACCCTTTAATTTTTTTTTGAGGACATAGAGGAAGTAAAATTGGTTGTGCCTTGAGCATTTTTAAAGGTTTCTGCTTGAAGCTTGGTTTACACAATGCTTTTCAAATCTAATTTTACAAAAAGTAACACTTTTTTGGGATGTTGGAATGTGACCTTTAGCATTGGTTTTGATGGTTGTTTCTGCCATAGCTACTGGCACTTCCTGGTTAGGTTTATGTAAAGTACCCACTACTTATCTTTGGCAATGACATGGCCTAGCTAGTTAAATGTGTGTTGTATAGACAATAGGTTTGTGCACGTGTCAGTCTGCTGACCTAGCTGACATATTCAGTCTGCATCCAAACATTGAGCATAAAGATCTTTCCCATTTTATGCAAGTGGTGTTCTATAAAAGGATGAACACAGCCAATTTTTCTTGTTTAGCAGTGAAATAATTTTTAAATAGTTCCCAGAGCTTTCTTGATATTATGCAGTTTTCCAGAAAAACTGCATAATACTTTTTAGTCAACCCAATATTATATCTGAAAGAGATCTTAATGTCCAAATTTCAAATCATCCAAAGTATGCAAATGTTAAATAAAGGCTAATTTTGCTGCTGCAAAAGCTTAACAAATTTTTGTGTTTAAAAAAAAAAAAATTGTCAATGAAAATGCTTGTATTTAGAATAAATGATTTTATATATTTATCATATAAAAGCTATTACTGGAATTTTGTGTTGAAGCCTAGAATTATCTTTAACATTCGGAAAGACCCGAAGACACAGTAATTCTGCTGTTTTAACAGGTACCCGGAATCACTCATTTTGTTGCAGTACCCAACAGAGGGTATTTTGAAAGAAATTTTAAATAAACAATAACTAAAAGTAACTATTTGTTTAAGTGATACTTTAAATTGTGTCAAAATATTGTTAGCAGAATTGCTTTTAGTTTAAACTTCAATTAATAAACTTCTTGACATAAGTCTAAAAGTGTCAATAACTACAAAGCCCTTTTACTCAATGTAGATGTGTCTCATTTAAAATATTTTTTAAAATATATTTTTGCAAACAATCAGAATATATTGCAAACAATCAGAATATATTGCAAACAATCAGAATATATTGAAAACAATCAGAATATATTGCAAACAATCAGAATATATTGCAAAAAAGAAAATTTATGCAGGTATTTGAATAGCTACTTTTTATTGTGTGAGAGAATTTTTTTCACATGAGAATTTTTTAAAGTTGATAGAGCTTATTTTAATTTTAAAACTTTTGATATTTTTAGCATTAACAACATCAGATAGTAAGTTATTCTAAATATTAACAACCCTGAGGTAGAAAGAGTATTTACAAACATCAAGTTTACACCTTAGTTTGCATAATATGTGTTTAATGCATAATAGTTTGTGAGTGTAAATACAGTTTGTGACCTGGAGTGTAAAAAGTGTAAAAGTTGTTTATTAAAAAGAAACTTGATATATTTATTTATATATTGTTTATTAAAAAGATTTTAAACTTAATTAGCGCAAATGAACTAGCGTTAATTGATAATTTTGTGAAAACAATTTTTAGCGCTAGAGACTTTACAAGCTTTTATTTCAACTTTTTGGCCAGACTCAGACCCAGTGTTTTCTTCTGGGTAGCCAGAGTTGAGACTCTGCATAAACTGGTTCCAGCACATCTCTAGTACTATCACCCTTTGTTATCAACAAATATGTCTTTTGAGATTATTTTTACAATGAAAGTATTAAACAAAATATAGAAAATTGTTATATAGAAAGTTAGACTTTTATAAACATGCCATTCTATACTTGTTTGAGCAATTAAACGTAGATATGCTAACTGATGCTCATGAAAAAGGCTCATGAAAATGCTCATGAAAATAGGTTTTACACAACTGAGAGGTTATTAGATTAAATCTTGTTATTAATAAGAGAAAGATTTAGTGTTTTATTACGCATTTAGTGGAGAGGGGAAATTTTAGAAAGATTCGGGTGTAACTTTAATTTAATTTTTTTTTAAAGAAAATTGGTGTTGTACCCACATATTCTATCATATCTGGTCTTTACTTTGTATGTGTGGTTATAACAGTAATATCCTGCTCAGAAAAGCCATCATATGTTAACGAAGTTAAAAAAAAGATTGGTAAGTGTGTTTTTCAAAAAATGATTATATGTTTCAGGAGCATTTATGTCCAGGCATTACAAGTAAAAAACACTATTTTGGTGTTGTCACCGACATTGTGTTTTTTTAACTATGTTGGTTTAATTTAATTTCATGTTGTTTTTACCTTAACATTTACCTTAAAAAAATTGAAATATTTTTTTAATTATTTAATTGGTTTCAATTTTAAAAATATTTTGGTTTTTGGACTATTTTAACTATTTAGACTTTTTTTATTCAGACTACTTTATTCGTAAGTTTTTATATAATTTGAGTGTTATCTTATTAGTCTGGTACATGTGTTTTATATTTAAACAAAGTTCTCAGAATTATTACAGGCTGAACTTTATTGGTATTTAATTTTGAATTCTTTTTTCTGGAAAGTGGGCAGTGGTGTAGTAGTAGAGTGTGGCGTGGGTAGGGGTGTGGGTAGTGTGGGTAGTTCGATTCCCACCACGTCCCTGGTAGTACCGTACTCAACTTGTTTCTCCGCACAACAGCCTTGTTTGTCAAGGTTTGTGTTTCGGAGTTATAGAGTTGAGAGAGGGTTATAACCACAAGTAGCCTCCTCATCTGTAGTGTTCTTCTCAGCCTTAGAAATTACAAAAAAAAAAAAAAAAAACAAGAAAAAAGTCAATTAAAAATATGGTGTAACTGTCAAAAAAAATTATAAAGATTTTAACAACCACAAAAAAATACTCTTCGGAATTCATAAATACCAAAGGTTTTTTTTTTATTGCCATTATGTTGTGATAATGTACAATTTATTTGCTTGTTTTTCATAATAATGTCTTTGCAAAGATAAAATTAAAGTTAAAAGTTCAAAGATTAAAAACAAAACAATAAGTTACAAAAATAATTTTGTGAACAAAGTTTTCATTAGGAAATCTTGCAAAACCACTCGTTTTAATTCTCTGCACAAAAATTTGATAACAAACATCATATTCAGGTATATAAAGGTGTATACTTGGGAAATATGAATTGTGCAAGGACAAAATTAAATTTTGATTACATTTAACTGTAAATAAATAATGTGGTTTGCATTTCTAAATATGGAGTTGTACTCAGCAGAATATCTTGTAAAGGTGAAACTTAGTTCTATGGAATTTTTGTAAAAATAAAAAATCTCATTTTTTAAATAGAGTTCCTTTCTACTTTAATTATTTTTATAATTTTTTTTTTTTTTTATTGTAGACACAAAAATGCTTTTCAGTGCTTATTGGGGACCACTTAGAGGTTTAAAAACTGTTTGATTTTAATTAATGTGTTTTACTTCTATAAGAAATTTTTAAATTTTTGAAAATTAATTTCATATTTAATTTTAGAACACGATTTTCGCTGGGTGTTTCTTACACGGTTTCTTATGCAGCAAGGTGTTGCTACTGTTGTTGGTTTTCTAGAGTATTGGTTAGGGGATATGGTAGAATTGCCTGCTTGTTGGACCCCTGAAAAGGCTGTGGCCGTTATCCTGTTACCTTTGCTTTTGTCTGCAGCAATTTTGTAAGTAGTGTTGTTAGATTTAATAAGTTCATTTCTGCTATGTATTTTGTATATGCTCTTTTCCAGCCTGGCTTAGCAGACCAAGCTCAGCATTGGTATACCTTAAATTAAATTTTTTCAACAACTTGACATCTAGCAAATTGATTTTTCTTAATAGTATTTTTAAGTTATGGCCTGATTTAGGAATAATTTAAATAATTGTGAGAATTTGATGATGGATACCACTGTTCATGTATTTTGCAGACTTTGTACTTTCATTCACATTAAAGAAATTGGTTATAATTTTTTAAAAGAATTTAAAAAAATTCATAAGAATACAGAATGAAGAGCATGTTTGTTAATCAAATCAATTATAATTTATATTTCTTGCACATTTGTCTTTGAAACTTTTCATGACTGATACATTTACAAAAAAAATAAAATAAATTATACAAAATAGATGATAAATTTTTTCATTTATTATTCTATTTTAAATTACCTAAAAAAATTTTACAAAAAGTATACAGCTAAGTAAAGTTATATATTTATATTATATATATAGATATATATTATAAAGATATAACTTTACTTTTAACAATAACACATATAGCATGACAGAGTTTTTAATAAAACATATTGTATGTGATGTATATGTAATGTATATGTGAAACATTGAAGATCCAGCATTTTCTATTCATTCTTCAAAAGTTTAAATACATAATTTTATAAATATTTATAAAAAATTATTTTGTTAAAGATTAGTTAACAAGAGTTATTTTAATTCAATGACCTCAAAGTGGTAAATTTAAGAATTTAAATTACAAATAAAATTGTGAAAACATTCATAAATTGTTTTTAAAAAAAAAGTAGAATATAAATTATAACATTATTATAAATGTTATTTTACTGTTATCACTTTTTTATTATATATCACATTATTATTGACACAACATAAAACATATAAAGACTATCAGGTTCATAGTACATTTTTATTGACATAGCATAAAACCTAATAGAGTATAATACATATAATCTAATTTTTATTGCTAATTTTTATTTTATTTTTATTGTCAACTATAAATTTTATCAAAGCATTATTACACTATGTGAGAGAAGTTTTTAAATGCTTATAAAAATGTTAACAGTTTAAAAAAAATATTTTAATTTTAAAATAAGGTCAAGTCATACTATTAATAAAATCAAATTCCATTAAAGTAACAGTTTGAGAAGATTTAGAGCAATGTATATATTATGTAATGAAATGATTTTAGAAAAAGGATAGATAAGTAATATTTTTGTGATGAATCCTGCTCAATCAGCTAAAAATAATTTTAGTTGTGATTTGTAGTATATGTATTATGATCAGAAATTGTATTTGAAAATTTTATTGTTGAACATAAATGCTTTAAAAGATTGATTGGAATCATTTTCTTGCGGTTTTGTAAAATAAAGTCTTTACTGCTGGGAACCACTTATACTTAAATGAGAGTTGGGAACCGCTTATACTTAAATGAGTCTTAATAGCTGGTTTCATTACTTTTTAAAACTTTAATAATTTATACATGATTTTTATAATTAAATGGTTTTTTGATTTCTAATGTTACTAATAATCTTGATATCATATTTTCTGCAGCTTTTTCTGCTGAGGCTACGTAAAACAATCTCATTTTGCCTCATGCCACGATGGAATAAATGATCTGGAAAACTTTTATGTTTTTTAAAACTGTACTTTCTATAAAAAATACCATATTATTCATATCATATACTCCACTCATTCTATACACTCATTCATTTTAATATATTGTAAAAGTCTGGTATAAACATAACATTTTATTTTCTTATATAAGCAATCTTCGTTTACATCTTACAATCTTTGTCTTACTGAAAAAAACATGAATTTTTATGATAAAAAAGTTTAGCTATACAGAAAGTATCATTTTTTTCATGTTACAAACTGTCATTTGCTCATGTTACTTAAAGTGTCATTTGCTCATGTTACTTAAAGTGTCATTTGCTCATGTTACTTAAAGTGTCATTTGTTCATGTTACAGAATGTGTCATTTGTTCATGTTACAGAAAGTGTCGTTTTTGCACATAAAAGTTTAAATTTTGAACTTAATTATAACTATCAATTTGAAATTATTGGAGCCTAAGATAGATATATATAGTATTAAATAAAATTTTTAATTATCTGTCAAGTTTTGTTTTCAAAACTTTACATAGTACAATGTTTTACTCTTAACAAAATGTTGATAAAAATGATAGTTAAAATATATATTAGTTAGCATTGTACCTTCTTAAAACACCCCAAAACATTGTATACCTTCTTAAAACACCCCAAAACATTGTATACCTTCTTAAAACACCCAAAATATGATTAATAAAATGACCGTATTGAAGTTGATTGACCTGCATACCACCTACTTGTTTATTTAAAAATTTTCTAATTGCTTATTTTAATTGATAATAAATATTAAAAAAAAGCTGTAAATTATTTGAGAAAATTTTTAAAAGTAAATTAAAAATAAATTACTAATAATCAAATCTTATTTTAGTTCAGTTGTTGGTGGATTCTTGTCAGACAAGCTTAGAAAAAGAAAACCTCTTGTAATTGGATCAGGTTTGATTATTTTTGTTTTCATCAAAATATTTATTATCAAAATATTATTTTTTTAAAATAGATTTAAATGATGTTTTTGATGAATGATGGATGATGTTTTCAAACAAAAAATTCTCTGGTTGGTGATGTTACAACATTTCTACCCCACTAACCCAGAGGAGGGGATAGATATTTTTTAGTATGAAAAAGCATCTAGATTGTTGTAAACGTTATTTCTTAGAGTAGATTTATTTTGAAATGTCTTATGATAAATGATGCAAGGATCAAATTTTGTGCCATTTAAAGAAAGTTTATTCGGAAATGAGTTCCTGTTTAGTTCGATAACAAGTTTGTTTTTTTAAATTTTGTTGGGCCTTTCCAGAAGCCACATTAGAAAGTTTGGTATATTATAAAATTTGGTACATTAGAAATTTGGTATATTAGAAATTTAGAGCTTTTTAATTGTTACTCTATAAAGTAACAATTTCAAAACATGCTTAAATGTAAATGGCTGAGCTAAAAAAAAAAAAATATTTTATTTTAAAACTTGGACAATATTATCCTTAAGATCATGTTTCTTTATTTTTTATTTTCATTTTTTTATTTTTTTTTTTTGAGGTAGAATGTTCTGTTCTCTTTACTGAATAGGTTTTTAAGTAAAACTTTACTTTATGTGCAATTTGGAAAACTTAATAAAACAGTTAAGTTGTCAAACTTTTTTACCAGATACTTTTCTAAGTTTCTTGTCCAAGTTAGAAGTCAAATATTCTGATATATATATATATATATATATATATATATATATATATATATATATATATATATATATATATATATATATATATATATATATATATATATTTATATTAAAAAAAATCAATTATCAATTAAAAAAAAGATTATTTCAATCTTTGAAAATAATCTTTATATGCATATATATATATATATATATATATATATATATATATATATATATATATATATATATATATATATATACATATATATATATATATATGTATATATATATATATATATATATATATATATATATATATATATATATATATATATATATATATATATATATATATATATATATTTGTGTGATATCATTAGAACTAATTTTGTAAAAATTACTATTTTAGCAATTTTAATGGCTGTTTGTTCTTTTATTTTGGCATTTATTGGATTACAAGGAAAATATGCTTTTTATGCAGTGATTCCTGTTTCATTGACATTTGGTATGTCTTTTTTTTTAAATGTCGAAAAACATTTGTGATATAAAAATCATGTAGTATATGTATATATTAAAGTGTATATATATACATAAATATATATAACTTAAGGTTTGCAAAATATTTTAAGGCAGTACACAACTACGTCCACCTAAGTGTGTGTGTATATATATATATATATATATATATATATATATATATATATATATATATATATATATATATATATACACTCACAATAAATTCAGACTTTTTTGTGCATGAGTCCCTGATGACATCATACTAACAGCTATATGTGAAAAAGTCATTGCTGAAATTAGTTGATTTTTTAGTTCGCCTGATTGAAACTTTTTGAGTAAAACTTAAAAAGTTATGTAAATAATGCATTTGTGGAGCGTTGTCTAATAAACAAGATGTTTTTCATAGTTTGACTTTGACACCACAACTCTGGAAGAACAGCAATCAACATGTTTCTTCTTGCAATAATTATAAGATTCATGTTTCAGAGTTTAGAGTGTTTCAGAACTATCAGAGCTAGAGAGTTAAGAGAGAATTTTCATTATAAAAAAAAGAATTAAGACTGTATTTATCTACTACCTTGTTTCCCCTAGTTATTTTCTACTTAAATTTTAAAGAAAAGTTTCTTGTTATAACTACGCACTACATTGTTTTATAAAAATATTTCATTTTTTATTTATTGTTAAAGATGATTAGGTTGGGATATATTAAATAATGTTAGAAACGATTTATTGAATTGACTAAAGTCATACTTTGTCAATTCAATAAATACTTTTCTATCAATTTTTTTCATGTTTGCAACATGAAAAAAATTGATAGAAGTTTATCAACTTATATTAGCTAGCTAAAATGTGTTTAACCTGTTGTTAGCTTTAAAGAACATGAATTGATTTGAACAGATAAGATTTGACCAAGGATAGTTGTTGGATAGACTGGATTTTAAGGCAACATTTTAGAGAAATATCTGCTCTGTCAACTAATATTAGCAAACTAAAATGTTTTTAACCTGTTGTTAGCATTTAAATGCTTGAGTTGATTTGATCAAGGATAGTTTGTTGAATAGACATTGAGAGCTCTTAAAGCTCTCAATGTCTATTTAAATATCTGTTTTGTTAATGTCTCAAAAGAATAAAAACTTTAAAATTTTAAAATAATATTTTTTTTTTTTTTAAACCTGCAAAAAAAAATTAGTAAAAAGCATTATTAAATTAATTTTTTTCGAATATGTTTAAAAAATACAATTTTTATGCAATATAATTTAACAAAATATTATTTATACAAAATGGTCATTTTAAAAGAGCAAATGTTTTTTCTAAATGTTGTCTAAGAAGCAAGTCTATTGTTTGATGGATAAATAATTATGTCATCTGTTTGTAATTCCAAAAATGCAAGATTGCTTCTATTTCCAAGAATGCAACATATGTAAAATATGAAATCTTTTGTTCAAGTTGATAAAAATAACTGCGGTAAAATAGTCAATTGATCAAAATAAAAAATTGAAACAGTAAAGTAAAGGGGGTGAAATGAAAAGTTGGAGGGGTGAAATGGGAGGTTGAAGGACTGGAATAGAAAGATAAAATAGAAAAAAAATAGAAATAAAAAGAAGGTTGAAATAGAAAGAGGTGAAAAAAGAAAGTGAAAGGGGTGAATTACTACTAATTTAAAGAAAGTTTGATATTTAACATTTAATGATAATTAACATTTTTACTGTATGTTCAGTTGGAGAAATTGTCATCTCAAGAAATAAAAATATTATATTACATACATACATGTATATGATCATTTCTTTGCGACCATATAATATTCCATTATAAATCAGCAAACCAACGTTTGATAGTTGTTGATGGAATCTGATTAACATTTTTGTATCGATTGCTTAGCTTGAACTATATTATTTGACACAGTTTTTCCAGATATTTCCGGAATTCTGGATATTTAACTCAACTTTTAGTTTTTCCAGATATCCAAAATGTTTTCCCTGCAAATCGATTCTTTTTGTGAATCAAGCGTCGCTTTGATTCGAGATTAGATTTTAAAAAAATGATTAGAGTTTTTCGAATCACTATTTATTTTGTGAGTATTGTTGTTTTTTTAGATATTTAATGCTAAATTGCTATCAAAATATTTTTTATTTATCTCAGCTTAAAGTAATTTTAATCAAAAGTAATTGTAATACAGCTTTCAAACAATCCCTTAAAAATTAATCCAGGCAAAAAAATTTTTTTAAGTTTTTTGTTTATTGAAAAAAGGTGCTTAAACTTGAATTTCCTCATATTACTGATTTGATTTGTGATTCGATTTGCAAATCAAGACCCGATTTGAGACTCGGTTTGAAACTAAAAATGCCGATTCGCAGGGCTCTACATATAAGTTTAGATATATACTTTTGTAATATATTTGTTTTTTAGGCTTTTTCACTCATCACTCATACAAAAATTTAAAAAAATTTGAAAAAAAATTGATGACAATTCAGCTAAGAAAAAAATTAAGAGGAAAATAAGGGAAAATGTATTCCAGATATTTTCCGAATATTTAACTCAATTTTCCAAATTTTTAAAGTATGACCTGGATGATCTATGATACAGCAGAGAAAATAGATTTAGCCTCACCTTTATTTTTTGTTTTAGTTTAACAAAAATGGCAGTGAAACAATTATTAAATCTACTTTATTTCTTATTATCTTCTGCTACAACTAAAACCTTTATATATTGATATGTTTAATTAATTACAAATGGAAAAAAAATTTAAAGTATACAATTTGTGGAGAAAATAGAACTAGCCTCGTTAACGTTATATAAAAGAAAGCTTAGAGTGCGGTGATTTACAAGTTTTACTCATATGAATAATATGACTGGTAATAATAATATGAGTGTTACTAATTTCTGTTTTATCAAATACATTTTATGAATTTATAATTTTTCACGTATTCCTACGGGCATTTTTTTAAAAAAATTACATTCTAATTTAGAACGCTTAGAGTTTCTAAACGCTGAAAAACTTAAAGTAAAGAAAAAAAGTAAAGGGGCTCCTTTTACTTTTTTGGCGGGGGGGGGGGCAAATTTATAGTTACGCCACTGAAGAAAATATACGTAATATACAAGAAACTACAGAATATATTTTGCTTTTACGCTTATTTAATATTTAGTATTGCCTCCTAAATTTTTAATGACTTCAAGTAAGTGACTTGACATACTAGTCACAAGATTTTGGATAGTTTCTATAGGTATTTCATTTCAATCCTCTCTGATACGAGTTTTCACCTCCAAGGTGGATTCAAATTGCTTACCATTTTCTTAAACTTTTCTAGAAAGTATTCCCCATTGATTTTCAATTGGGTTAAGATCTGGTCTACATACGGTTTATTCCATTTTGTGGACTACATGCGGTCCATCTGGATCTGGACTACATCTGGACTACATGCGGTCCATTCCATTACGTGATTTTTTTTTTTCTCTAAACCAAGCTTTTGTAAGCTTTGAATTATGGATAGCAGCATTATTTTGTTGAAAAGTGGAATTTTCACCTATCAATTCCTCACAATGTTCAAGCAAACTTATCTCTAATAAGTCAATGTAGTCCTGTGAATTCATTTTTTTTTAAATCCAAGTGGAAGTTTTCCATCAAAGGAAAAAGCCCCCCAAATCATAACAGTTCCACCACCAAAGTTACGACTCATCCGTGTTTCTTTCTCTTTTCGAAGATTGTGCCAGTAATATTGATAGCCATCAGGACCATTTAGATTGAACTTTTTTTCATCACTAAAGAGAACTTGATGCCACTCTTCCCACCAAGACATGTATTTTTTTGCAAATTGTAATCTATCTTCTTTATGATGAGCAGTAAGTTTTGGTTTTAGTTTACGCTTTTTCCAAACTGTGTTTGGGTCTTCATGTAAGATTTGTCTCATACGTTGAACAGGTACAGGCAATTGTAAATCAGCACAAATTTGAGATGCTGTCATGTGCTGAGCAGCAGCGCGACGTACAATAACTTGTTTAGTACCACCACTTCCCTTAAAAACTCCATACTTAACCCCAATCTTTAAGTAATTATTAACCACTTTTGGAGATCTTTTAATTTTCCTTGCAATTTCCCGATTAGATAAGCCTGTATATTTGTATGCTTTGATTACTGCTAATTCTTCATTCGTTAAACGCTTACATCGTCCCATTTCAAATTAAGGTATCAAAAACCAAATGTTTAAAACTTTATGAGCACTAATTTCACAGTTTTTTGTTTAACTTACAAATAATAATAAAAAGTCACAAATGCGGATCACCAGATCAAAAAATACAAGTAAACTGAAAATAATTATTGATAAGGCTATTTCTATATTTGTTACTGATTTGTTATTGATGAGGCTGTTTCTATATTTGTATATATACTTATTTATTCTATTTGTTACCGCAAATATCAAGTATTATACATTTTATGGCTTATTCAAATGTACCGCAATTTAATTATGCTATATTATAATCTAAAATGTTGTTGTTTGTAACAATAATTATATGCGTGTGGATACAAAAGATGCACCACAAACTTGCTTATAGATTTACAAAATATTGGATATCTTTTGAAAATCGGAACTAATAAAACATTGTACGGATATTTTGTTAGCTTTATGATATGGGTGGTAGGTCTGGTACACTTTATGAGATATGGGTGGTAGGTCTGGTACACTTTATGATATGGGTGGTAGGTCTGGTACACTTTATGAGATATGTGTTTTTATACTAGTAAGAACTCAATAAAAGTTTTCAATTATTTTAAATTCTAATAGTTACAAAAAAGTTTCTTTTAATTTTTGCTGGTGACAATAAAATATTTATTAATGAATGTTTGATAAACAAGTTGCTTGAAGTAAACAAGTTGTTTATTATTGCTAAAATATTACTTATTAGGTAAAAGAAATTGAAAAAAACAAAAATTTTATAAAGATTACTTTTCTATTTAAGGAATTGGTTTTGGGGCTTACTCTGCAATCGATTTTGCGTTGGTTTTAGATGTTCTCCCAGATGATAGAGATATAGCAAAAGATCTTGCAGTATGGCATCAGGTTACATGAGTTTACTCAAACTTTCAGAAGTTCTTTAATTAAAGTTTGCAGATAATTTATGATTCCAAATTATTTTTTAAGTAAATATTATTTCCTTTTTCTAAAACATTTAAACATATTTTTTACATAGGCTCTTGTGTTGCCACAAGCCATTGCTACGCCAATAGGTGGTATTGTATTGGATGGTTTTAATCATGTAAACTGTCATTGGGGGCTTGGATATATTATACTGTTTCTTATAACTTGTGTTTATTTTGCGATAAGCGCTTATATGGTTCGTTTCATAAGAAAGGCCAAGTAATCTCTTTCTAATCTGTTAGGCGCTAATTAAAAACTCAATTTAAAATTCTATCTATTTATACATTGTAAAAAATTTCATTCAAATTTTAATAGACTATTTATTGTATAAATGTATTTTTATTTGTGTTTATATATATATGTATATATATATATATATATATATATATATATATATATATATATATATATATATATATATATATATATATGCCATATCTATTTTTTTGAATCCACTGTATATATATATATATGTTTAAAATATAGATCTATTTATACATTGTAAAAAATTTCATTTAAATTTAAATAGATTTGTTTGTATAAATGTATTTGATTTGGGTTTTGCATATATAGTTGTCCGGACATGTAAAATACGGGTCTTTGTAAGTCTAATCAATTTCTATGACAATTTATATATATATATATATATATATATATATATATATATATATATATATATATATATATAAAGTGAGCTGATTTAAAACTGCTTGGATAGAAATTGTTAAGTGGCTAGCTGCCCTCCACTTGCTAATAAAAATATGACTGCCCTCAATTTGCTGATACCAAGGTTTCCAACATTGTTTATATAATTAAAGCACTCAAAAAATTCAACTTAGGCATGCTTTGAATCTATTTTTTAGCCGGATTTCGCTGAAAAACTGAAAATTTCATAAGGTGGTAATTAATGATAACTGGTGCAAATGTAACATCCAAAATTCACACTGACTTTAATCACATCTAAGATTTTATCAGTCGCAAAGTATCCCTTTTTGGGGTCTTATTGCAAACAAACTGTTAAAATTGTTCATCGAGATTTTTACAACATTGGTCAAGGTATGAACGAAACAATAATCATCCAGAGTACAAAGAAAGATTGTTGCGCTGCGTCTCTCTGTTAAGCTTAATCGAGCTTTGGTCTGAAATTTTATTACAATATTTTTAATTAAAGATTTAACTTTATTTAAATTTGATTGAATAAAACTAATGCTAAAATAAAAACATTTTAACTTAAAATGTATTTTTAAATACTAATTTTATTAATGTAGTTACATAAAAATTTTTGACCAACGCTCCGTTAAGCTTAACGGAGAGATGAGAACACGACCCCCGAACAGTAACCATCTTTAAAAAACTACTGGCATATTTTGATTTTTAGAGACTAGACGGAAAAATTAATACCTTACGGATTATAATGTATTTAAATGTAAAAAGGTTTAAAAAATTTTCAAATTAAAATTTTACTCAATTTAAAAATTCAAACAAATTTTATTTTTTGCTGACAAAATTAAAAGTTTCAAAATTTGCATTGATGTGTACGCTACCTTTTCATATAAATGGCTAGATTGTCAGAATCCATAATAACTGCAAAAAAATTATTTAATTTAAGTAATTTTAAATTATTTATATAGCTCATTTTATTTAATCTATAAACCATTGCGATAAGAAGGGAATAATAAGATAAGATTAAATCTTTAATTTGATGTTTTACATCAAATTAAAGATTGGAAAAACCAGATGGGAAAAATACAACGATGATGCGTATAAATTAGTTAAAAGTCTACTATAACTTGAGTATTTTCATGGTTTCGGAAAATAAGACGAAATCAAATGTTCATATAAAAAATGGTAATTTGTGGATATAAGCGTATAATATATGCTTTATGTCCACACATATATCGACATCTGAGAATAACACAGTAAATGTTATTTTCAGGTCTCCATTATGTTTTATAAGTTCACAAGAGTGGTTTTACTTACTAGGGGTTTTAGTGGTACAAGAGCCAATAAAAACTACTAACACCTGCGAAACATGTGCTTTGGTAATTAATTATGAAGTTCGTGCTACACCTAACTTCTCCGTGTTTTTGTTTTTGGAATTTTTGTTACGATTAAATGGAAAAAGTAATGACAAAAAAATCAAATCAAAAAAATATATATTTATATAAACTCAAAAAACAAATGTGTTATAAAAATATTTCACTTATAAATTTTTCTAATCAAAATAAAAGTTCGTAAAAAATATACAAACAAATATAAAAAAATATTCTTGTAAAAAAAATTCATTAAATTAATTAAAGGCAATGCAGTGTACATACTAACATGTTCAGACAGTAATAAATGTAACATTTATTAAAATCTTTTTTTAAACTTAGGATACTATTATGGTTCCTTTTTGAGATCTGTTAGAGAAATTATTGTTTCTTGAACACATATAGTTATATATTCCAGTTTTAGTCATCTGAAACAATGCTCCTTGAAAAGAAGCCGGAGCATTATTAAGTAGATTATCCATGTTTGGTCCAGCTTCCAAAGACTGAGAACATGTTGATGTCTGGACACACATAAATTTACCTGACGTAGCAAACATTACAGAATAATCCATAGAATTAAAATTTTTTAGCGAATCTGTTGTTGGATATAAGTATGTCCAGATCATTCTAAGATTGTTGCAAAAGTTTGTCGCATTTTCAAAAGGCAAAGGATAGTTTGTCAAGCGGTCGCCAATGGATAACATGTTGTTGCGATCAGTGCCTGTTAAAAAAGAAAAAATTTTTGTCTTCAAAAAATGTCAAAAAATCTCTTAACAATAAAACTTCTGTTGTAGACTTGGAAGTTTGGCATAAATCAGAGAAATTATAAACAAAACTCATAATTTTTTAATTTATTATTTTATAAAAATCACTTCTAATAATTAATAGTTGAAACATAAAAATGAATGGTTGAAACATAAAAATAGGCAGAGTTGACCTCGAATGAATGTACCTGCGGTTTTTAAACATTATTTATGTTGATCCTAGTATGTGTTAATCTGTCTCTTTTCAAATAGACTAGATTAAATTAGACTAAAATTTAAGTTTAATATTTTAGATGTAATATTGTTCGAACCATTATTATGTAGTCAATAAAGACATAAAAAGTCATAAACATAAAATACTAAAATTAGTTGTTTCAAGATTGATACATAACAAACTTTTCAGGAGCATGAATCTTATACTTTGCAATAAATTTCCAAATTCAACTTTAAATTTATGATCATCTTGACTTGAGAGTATATGTACATAAACCAGTGTTTTTACTGCTTTAGTACGTACGTAGTAAAAGCAACCCTCACCCCACTCCATGTATGGTTTCAATGCCTCTTTTATTCTACCTCATTTATCACAAAATTTAAATTCTTCTATAAATATTCTGAATTTATTATATACAGATTTATTGAAATTGACTTTTAAAAAACTATTTTGGTATCATGGTTTACTTGTTGGTATCATAGTTTACTTGTTGGTATCATGACTTTCACCTGGCTAAATGCTGTACAGAGGCCAAGATCTGCAAAAACACTAAAAAACATCATGCTTCAACAGACAAAGAATAAGTAAGTTTGTAAAAGGTTAGAAGGAAATAAAATTAAAAACCAGAAGTAGTTGTGTTAAAAAGACAGCATAGAGAAAAGCGTGCAGACAATTCATTGTAGTATAAAATCTGCACTTAAATGTAGTCTGAAAAACCATGTTGAATTTTACCAGATCTCTGAAGTGTGTAACTTTAGTTTTGTATTGCAATTTAAAGCCATACAAATAAATATCTTTAAAAGATTACAAATATTTATCTCTAAAAGATACCTGCATGTGTAATTTTAGTTTTTTTAGATTTCTAATCAATCAAATCAAAACAAAACAAAAAAATCATTTTTTGCTAAGAGTTTTTCAAAGACTTGAGAAATTAATTGCCTTTAGGTACAAAAAAAAACTATGCAAAAGTATATTAATAGCTTGTTATAAGCATTAATCAACTAATACGTATAAAACCAAAACAACTTTTTATTATTTGTAAATATAATAACAGTTCATAATTCTCACTTTTCAATTATTTGACAGCTTCTTATATATTTACTTTTTACAGATTTACTTAATATTGTAAAATAACTACTTCTAAAATTAAATAAATCTACTTTAAAACTGCATATAATCACACTATGTTTATGTTTTGATGCAAAATAGTTCTGATTCATTTGTTTAATGTTAAAATAAATTTTCCTGATGATAATGATAAAGAAAAACTGTTTCTGAACTTTGAACACTTTTTTTTTGTTCATCTTGATTGAAATACTTTTATAGACTTGCCACATTATTTTTATAGACATGCCATATGTTATATAGACCTGCCAGACCTGGATGTTTCATTGCTATAAAATATATTTTTTCTTTTATCTACAATTTAACAAACTTAAAAACTAGCACAATTTATTTGTAAAAAACTTGGGAATTTTTTTTTTTGGTCGGAAATTTTTTTTCTTTTTAAATGATTGTTAAGTCCAAAGCTGATATAAAAGCAAACAAAACAATACAGATAAACTAGGATATAAAATATGTCAGATATAAAAAAGACATCAAAGGAATGTCAAGTAATAGTCTTTATGCTTGCTAATGTATTAATGACATTTAATACTTTAAGGAGGAATTGATTTTAAATATAACAAATGAAAAAAATAAAAATATTTTCTGAAAAAGTAAAAAATGTTGCAGTCTTAAAGATTAGTACGAAAGTTCATTTTTGAAAAGTTCTTAAAAAATAAAAAAATTTTAATACTTAAATTTACCTAAAAAATTTAAGAAAAAAAAAAGAACACTAAAAAAATGTTTTTTGATAGTTTTTAAAAAAGTACCTGTGGTCCCTTCGCCTGCATCACCACCTTGGCCATCACCACCTCCATTATTATTATGTGTGTTTGAACCTTAAGAGAAATTTAAAGTTATTAACTTATAATCCTAAAAAGAAATTAATGAATAACACAAAACATTAAATATGAAAAAAATCAATTTAAAAACAACAACATTTTTTGCGAGTTCTGAAATGAAGATTGTCTGTCTAATTGAAACTTACAGTTGATTTAACACATTAATCTATTAGATGTTATATTTGTATTGAGCTAATCTGTTTATTAAAGTTTGTTATTTATGTATAAAACTGCTTTTTACATGTACATTTTGTTAAAAAAAGCAGTACAAATTCAAAATACCAAGTGACCAAGAAAAATCTCACAGTTAAATAGCTATTATAAGCTACCAATGGCTATTATATGCTACCAATGGCTATTATATGCTACCAATGATTCCTTAACAATTCTAAAGGATAAAAAGTTAATTTACAATAAAAAATTGTTTTTTACAAGAGTTAATAGTTTTTACATTTTGATATCATTTACTACTTAAACCAAAATATCAACTAAAAGTTTTTTGTTCAACTAAATATTTTTAGTTAAAAATTTGAAGAAATAATAATTAGTAGAAAATCAAAAAGAACTTTAATAAAATAAAATTATAATTTTTTTAGAAAAAGTTTTTTCAACATTCTTCCATAAGAGAAAACTCAATAATCTCTGTAAAAGATAAAATGCACGCTTTTTTCAAATTAGGCTACAAAAAGACACCCATCCATGTATTCTTAGCAACATCTCCTGCATACCCATTGAAACTGATTTACAAGAATCCAATATCCAGAAGTAATGTTCCAGATTTGAGTAAATATTTTGTCTTTAAAAGAAGATAGTAAACTCTAGCATCAACCCATCACATCTTTATTGTGAAATGTTATAGAAGGTTGTATATATAATCCTATCAAAACTTTGTGTACAATACCCAACACCCTAATACTCAATGCTCAACAAGATTGTTGAGTTAAGTGAGTTTTTAAGACTAATCTTATCATGCTGACATGATAATACAAACTTTGAATAAGACTTTGTATAAATCTTTCATAAATACTTGTTACATAACCTAGTTGATTTTAATTGGTTAACTTTGGCATTGATGATGCACTATTATAAATGATTGAGCAATGTCTAATTAGTCAATAACAAAAAATAGTAGTTGACAGATTAACATCAGAGTAGGTTCCTGCTCTCAACTTAACACTTAAGTAATATGGTTTTAAATAACTTTTTAAAGTTAAGACTTGAACAGCAGTTTTAGTTGTAAACCAAACCTGTGGTTATCTAAAAAAAAAGCAAGTGTAGCCTTCGAACATAGCTGTATAGAAACATTGTTTCTTAAATGCATTCATCCACCTTAAGTTAGCAGCATAATTTTCTCTCAAAAATTTTTTGAAATAATAGCTAGTGGCTATTAACGTATACAAACTCAAAGATAAAACTTTTGTAGAAGAAAAAATTGCAAAGACTAAATTTACAAAACTTAAAAAAAGAAGAATAAAAAGTGACCTAATAAATATTATTTTAAAATAGCTACTCTAAGGTCTCTAATAAGCATTAAAGGGAAGAGGAAGGGGGTACATAGTTGACAAACTTTTTGTTCATACCAAAGTAATTATTATGTTCATTTTTATATTTGTAACATAACTAAAATTTGATTTTATAGATAAAACTAAATAATATACTAATAATATAATACCTGTCCATTGTGCATGTATGAAATCAGTTGTTTTTACATACAAATCAGTAGGTACAAAGTCATATTCAACAGCTGGGTATGTTTGCACAATGTTTCCACGCTTACCACGAACATTCAGGTTCCATATGTTCACTGTATTGGCTACACTTGAAGGTCTATTTATTAAATTAAACATATGTGTCCTATCTTCAAATGTTCTTCCATATTGGGCTGTGTTAATTGCAAGTTGCAGTGGTTGATTTTGTATACCAACATCTACCAGTGGATTTTGTTTTAAAACGTTACTTTTGTAAAAAATAAAAAAAAGATAAAAAATTTTATTTAAAAAAAAATAATAACAATAAAATTAAAATAAAAACTAAATTTTTTAAAGGGTATATAACTTAAATACTATAGATAATATAATAATACAATATAAGTTTAATAATAAATCTTACGGATTATTGTTGCTTGCACTATTGGTATTATATGGGTCATAATCATCAGTTGAAATATTGTACCTGAAAATGACAAAACCTTATTAAATTTCATAATACTTCATTTCTGGTTAATATATGTCTAATAGGTAGCTGCGAGGGCTTCAGTGCATATATTGGTTGAATATGTAAATAGAATGTAAGGGAATGCTGCTACATTGACTAAGGGTTTGGGTTGTTGGGCTTTGCTTTTTCTTCTTTTTCTGAAAATGTAAGGTGTATATTTTAAGAATAAAAGTGCAAAAAATACATTAGAAAATTATCTAAATACATTATCTACTATAGCATATACAGATAAATATTTGATGACTTTATTTGCTGACTTAAATCCATACTTAAAAAAATAAAAAAAAAATTAAATAAATAAAAGAAACGATTGCTGCCTTAATGCAAACTCTAAGTGACCTTAGTAAACCCTTATTTTCTTT